CAACAATTGGATCTGGTCAGGAGAACAGCAAGCAGCATTTGATACTCTCATCAATCATTTAACGCAACCACTGATACTCGCCTATACTGATTATTCCCTGCCTTTTGAGGTACACATGGATGCAAGCAGAGCTGGACTTGGAGCAGTTCTTTATCAGAAGCAACAAGGACGTTTGAGGGTTGTAGCCTATGCCAGTAGAGCTCTACGGAAGAGTGAGAAGAATTATCCAGCTCACAAACTGGAATTCCTGGCACTCAAGTGGGCAGTAACTGACAAGTTCCACGAATATCTCTATGGAAACAAGTTTGATGTTAAGACGGATAATAACCCTTTGACATATGTCCTCACAACTGCTAAACTTGATGCCACTGGACATCGCTGGCTAGCAGCACTTTCAGCATATGATTTCAAGATCATTTATCGCCAGGGAAACAAGAACCAAGATGCAGATGGATTGTCCAGACCGCATAATCATAGAGCTGATTTAACCAAACTGGATGTTCCAAGTATCAAGGCCATCTGTCAAGTTCAACAGACGATAGGTACTCGTGCTGATAGTCTCACCTTTCATGAGGATGCCATATATCCAGAGGAACCATCCCTGTGTTTAGCCTCGAAAGAACACAACTGGAAGAAAGAACAATCGCTGGATAAAACACTTGCTCGGCTGATATCACTTTTGAACCTAGGACACAAGCCAACAGCACGCCAACGGTCTCTTGAAGATCAATCCGTCAGGAAACTCCTTCTGGAATGGGACAAGTTTCTTCTAAACAAAGGAGTTCTCTATCGAAGTGTGAATAGTTCTGATGGAGTTGTACATCAAATTGTGTTACCAACCATACACAAGGAAACAGTTCTCAAGGCCATCCATGATAATTCAGGACATCAAGGCAGAGACCGTACTCTCGACTTAATTTCAAAACAGGTTCTTCTGGACTGACATGAATGAAGATGTAGAGAGATACATTCGTAAATGTGGAAACTGCATCAGACGAAAATCACCTGTGACAAGGAAAACAGCTGAGCTAGTCAACATTCAGACAACCCAACCAATGGAACTAGTGTGCATGGACTACTTGCAATTGGAGGAATCAAAAGGAGGATTCGTGAACATTCTTGTGATCACAGATCATTTTACATGATATGCTATTGCCATACCAACCAAGAATCAATCCGCCAAGACAACAGCAAGAGTTCTTTTTGATAATTTCCTTGTGCACTATGGATTTCCAGCCCAACTTCACAGCGACCAAGGTAGAAACTTTGTAGGTAATATCATCAAGGAGTTATGTGAACTGTCAGGAATTCGGAAGACTCGAACCACACCATATCATCCCCAAGGAAACGGAATGTGTGAGAGATTCAACCAGACTCTTCTGAACATGTTGGGAACCCTTAAAGAAGATAAGAAAACTGACTGGAAGACTTATGTTTTTCAACTGGTTCACGCCTACAATGACAAAAAGCATGAGAGTACAGGATACTCACCTCTCTACCTTATGTTTGGTCGACATCCACGCCTGCCTGTTGATGCTTTCCTTGGAGTCAAGAAGATTGGTGATGACCACACTACCACGACTGAATATATCAACAAATTGAGAAAGAGATTAAACTTTGCTTATGAAAGTGCATCACGTGAAGCCCAAAGAGCTGGTCGACGTCATAAGAAAAGATACGATGCCAAAGTGCGCGCCCCAACTCTCCAACCTGGTGACAGTGTCCTTGTTCGTCTTGTAGGACTTACTGGGAAACACAAGCTTGCTGATAAATGGGGACGGGATGTGTTCCAAGTTGTAAACCAACCAAATAAGGACATCCCAGTATTCACCCTGCAACAGGAAGATGGCAAAGGACCGAAGAAGACACTTCATCCGAACATGCTCCTGCCACTTGTGTCAATACCAGCGGAACCAGTGTTTGGACATCAGAAAAACAATGAAAGAAAGGTAGGGACGAAGAAATCTGTATCCTTGAAGGTGAAAGAATACCAAGAACTCATGGAGTCAGAAGACGAAAATGCTGAGGAAGTTTTTGTATTGTTACCAGATCCGATTATTCCACCAGTGTCTCAGGTTACTGGATCCAATGGAACTAACTTTGGTCGAGATCTCGAAGAAAGAACTGAAGCTAAAAGAGAGGAATCTATGGAAACAGTAGGAACTGTAATGGAGCTTGAAGACTCATTTCCTGCTGACACGTCTCCTGGACTATCATCTAACAGTTCTCCAACACGCTATACTTCCAGCCCTCCTGAACAGTCATCTGCTTCAGCGGAAGAGGAGCCCGGTACAACATCTGCTCATGACGAGGATGTAGTTGCAGACTCCACTGATCATGTATCAGAACGGAACTCTCATATGGAGAGGCCTACCCGTAACAGAGCTCCCCCGTTTTGGCTCAGAAATGGCGATTGGGTAACTGACTACAGTATTCTTGCCAAACCATCTGTTTCCTTTCTGAGGATACATCATCGGCCGCTGGTATCTCAGAATCGTTTGAGGTTTTTGTATAGTGGTGTTAACTTTCAACGTTGTGGGCTCATAATGTGTGTAAGTAGTTGTATAAAGGTTTCACTTTTCTCTGTTTGGATGCTTCAGCGCATTTAAATGTTGAGGACAACATTTCTCAAAGGGGTGGAAGGTGTCGCCGGATTTATTAAGGGTTAGTTGGCAAGAGTTATCTGTTTCATTTTACGGATGCTCCATCTCTCAATATTACTCCTGGTTGTCTTACCAGCAGTATCTCGTGCTGATACCTGGGATGACACGTGGACACTTTCAAATGCCACTTTATGTCACGCCATTGCCGAGGGAAGACATTCTTTCTTCCTCGACTCATCATTCATGTAGATGTGATTTATATATTTTTACAGGTAATAAATCCTTTTATACCTCATCCGCACCGCCTCAGTTGCCTCAATTACATCGTTGGCAGAACCCGCGACATGTTCATTGTGTCACGTGTGTTGTGCACAGCCAGACAGATGTGTGCTCATAGTGTATCTAGAAATGTTCTTGTCCAGGACTTTATTGTTATTTAATCCATGTCCTCGTGTACAAGGTGTGGTGTGTGGCGGGAGTGAGGGAGATGCATCAAGTCTGACACGGGTTTGATGAAATGAGCAGGATACACATAATTATTATGCATGGAGATAATTCGCTCATGAGTTACACCTGTGGATAACCAGTATTGACTTTTAACATTCTTGAAGCATAAAGCATGAGTGTGTCCTTAAATTGGTTTAACGCCACATGTACAAGTATTTCAAGTGTGTGATTCTGGTGTGTAAGGGACATTACCCTGGGCAACTACGTGCGGCGCTTCAGACAACTTGGCGACCCTCATGAGGGGTTTCTGCAGGGTGCGTACTCTCTTTATCATGTTCATCTACCTATGACTTACATGGATTTCTTCTCTGTCAACATCCAAAAAACAAACATCCAAAAAGGATTCACACTCTTTATGTACATGCTATCTTGAGCCAGCATAACTGTATAATTTCACTGATCTTGAAACATATCAACTGATGTATCTTTGAATGGAAGGACAAATTGTATTCCGTGTGTAACTATTGAGGTTGAGTCGGTGCATGCGTATCCTAGAAACAGATTAGTCATGTTCTCCACCGAATTGCGCCGCCTACAGCGACTGCGTCCCCCGCATCACTGTAGAGATCCACACAATAATGTATGTATCTGTACAAGACACATTAAAGGCCTCCAGCGACTGGGTCCCCCGCATCACTGTAGAGATCCACACAATAACGGATGTATCTGTACAACAAGACACATTAAAGGCCTTCAGCGACTGGGTCCCCCGCATCACTGTAGAGATCCACACAATAATGGATGTATCTGTACAACAAGACACATTAAAGGCCTTCAGCGACTGGGTCCCCCGCATCACTGTAGAGATGCACACAATAACCGATGTATCTGTACAAGACACATTAAAGGCCTCCAGCGACTGGGTCCCCCGCATCACTGTAGAGATCCACACAATAACGGATGTATGTGTACAACAAGACACATTAAAGGCCTTCAGCGACTTGGTCCCCCGCATCACTGTAGAGATCCACACAATAACGGATGTATCTGTACAACAAGACACATTAAAGGCCTCCAGCGACTGGGTCCCCCGCATCACTGTAGAGATCCACACAATAACGGATGTATCTGTACAAGACACATTGAAAGGCCTTCAGCGACTGGGTCCCCCGCATCACTGTAGAGATCCACACAATAACGGATGTATCTGTACAACAAGACACATTAAAGGCCTTCAGCGACTGGGTCCCCCGCATCACTGTAGAGATCCACACAATAACGGATGTATCTGTACAAGACACATTAAAGGCCTTCAGCGACTGGGTCCCCCGCATCACTGTAGAGATCCACACAATAACGGATGTATCTGTACAAGACACATTAAAGGCCTTCAGCGACTGGGTCCCCCGCATCACTGTAGAGATCCACACAATAACGGATGTATCTGTACAAGACACATTAAAGGCCTTCAGCGACTGGGTCCCCCGCATCACTGTAGAGATCCACACAATAACGGATGTATCTGTACAAGACACATTAAAGGCCTTCAGCGACTGGGTCCCCCGCATCACTGTAGAGATCCACACAATAACGGATGTATCTGTACAAGACACATTAAAGGCCTTCAGCGACTGGGTCCCCCGCATCACTGTAGAGATCCACACAATAACGGATGTATCTGTACAACAAGACACATTAAAGGCCTTCAGCGACTGGGTCCCCCGCATCACTGTAGAGATCCACACAATAACGGATGTATCTGTACAACAAGACACATTAAAGGCCTTTAGCGACTGGGTCCCCCGCATCACTGTAGAGATCCACACAATAACGGATGTATCTGTACAACAAGACACATTAAAGGCCTTCAGCGACTTGGTCCCCCGCATCACTGTAGAGTTCCACACATGAACGGATGTATCTGTACAGGACACATTAAAGGCTTGTCAGTTACAAGTCAGTACAGGCATATCCGAGAAACAGTTTAGTTATTTGTTCCACGCCATCAGCATCAGGGTGGACATCCTCAAGATGCAGGGCGACACTCATGTCCCAGTAGTCGAGGTAAGCGACCTTGTCATACAGACTGCGGAACTCCTCCTTGACTATATCCGCGTAAGTTGGACCCCAGTACCCGCCAATAAACCGGTTCTTGGGACCAAACGAATGCGGCCCTTTAATGGCTACCACTACATCTGGGGCCCTCTGAAGCAGCCGTTTGACAGACTGTGCAACATGGCGGAGGTTGTTGCGGAGCACACTGGGGTGGTGGTACTGGAAGTGGGCGTAGAGGTGGATGAGGAGGATGTCACGTGACCCAGCCGGTACTTCGTCAATAGTGATATGGACGGGTCTCGCCACGCCACGCCCAGACTCAAAGAAATACAGAGGAAGCCCATGGGGGCTCCAGGACATGCTGAAGTTGCTGTCTTTCCTTTCAGCCTCTGTGTATCGATGCCATTTTTTACCCACCCAGTCCAAGGTCACGAATGTCATGTTCAATCTCATGTGAATGTACGAGAACATCTGCCTGACAGTTGAGTCTCCAAACATCACCAGTCGTCGGTTTCTGAGACAGTGTCTGAGAGCAGTGTCGCCTGTAGGGTACGTACAGAGCACGTGGTGCCACTGTTGCTTGTGGAAGAACCCGATAGGAGAAGAGGCAGACCAGGAGTGCAGGAAGTCTCGCCTACCGCACAACGTGGCAGCCCGTACAGTCGAGGCTCCCTCTACTGAAATACATGGATGGTGGGTAAGAGGGCGTTCCACTGAAATACATGGATGGTGGGTGAATGGGCGTTCTACTGAAATACATGGATGGTGGGTGAGAGGGCGTTCTACCGAAATACATGGATGGTGGGTAAGAGGGCGTTCTACTGTAATACATGGATGGTGGGTAAGAGGGCGTTCTACTGAAATACATGGATGGTGGGTGAATGGGCGTTCTACTGTAATACATGGATGGTGGGTAAGAGGGCGTCCTACTGTAATACACGGATGGTGGGTAAGAGGGCGCTCTACTGAAATACATGGATGGTGGGTAAGAGGGCGTTCTACTGTAATACACGGATGGTGGGTAAGAGGGCGCTCTACTGAAATACATGGATTATGGGTGAGAGGGCGTTCTACTGTAATACATGGATGGTGGGTAAGAGGGCGTTCTACTGTAATACACGGATGGTGGGTAAGAGGGCGTTCTACTGAAATACATGGATGGTGGGTAAGAGGGCGTTCTACTGTAATACACGGATGGTGGGTGAGAGGGTGCTCTACTGAAATACATGGATGGTGGGTGAGAGGGCGTTCTACTGAAATACATGGATGGTGGGTAAGAGGGCGTTCTACTGTAATACACGGATGGTGGGTAAGAGGGCGTTCTACTGAAATACATGGATGGTTGGTGAGAGGGCGTTCTACTGAAATACATGGATGGTGGGTAAGAGGGCGTTCTACTGTAATACACGGATGGTGGGTGAATGGGCGTTCTACTGAAATACATGGATGGTGGGTAAGAGGGCTCTCTCCTGAAATACATGGATGGTGGGTGAGAGGGCGTTCTACTGAAATACATTGATGGTGAGTGGCAGGGCGCTCTTCTGAAATACATGGATGGTGGTTGAGAGGGTGCTCTACTGAAATATACAGATGGTGGTTGAGAGGATGCTCTACTGAAATATACAGATGGTGAGTGGCAGGGCGCTTTTCTGAAATACATGGATGGTGGGTGAGAGGGTGCTCTACTGAAATATACAGATGGTGAGTGGCAGGGCGCTTTTCTGATATACATGGATGGTGGGTGAGAGGGTGCTCTACTGAAATATACAGATGGTGAGTGGCAGGGCGCTTTTCTGAAATACATGGATGGTGGGTGAGAGGGTGCTCTACTGAAATATACAGATGGTGAGTGGCAGGGCGCTTTTCTGATATACATGGATGGTGGGTGAGAGGGTGCTCTACTGAAATATACAGATTGTGAGTGGCAGGGCGCTTTTCTGAAATACATGGATGGTGGGTGAGAGGGTGCTCTACTGAAATACATGGATGGTGGTTGAGAGGGCGCTCTACTGAAATATACAGATGGTGGTTGAGAGGGTGCTCTACTGAAATACATGGATGGTGGGTGAGAGGGTGCTCTACTGAAATATACAGATGGTGGTTGAGAGGGTGCTCTACTGAAATATACAGATGGTGGGTGAGAGGGCGCTCTACTGAAATATACAGATGGTGGTTGAGAGGGTGCTCTACTGAAATGTACAGATGGTGGGTGAGAGGGCGCTCTACTGAAATATACAGATGATGGTTGAGAGGGTGCTCTACTGAAATATACAGATGGTGGGTGAGAGGGTGCTCTACTGAAATATACAGATGGTGGTTGAGAGGGTGCTCTACTGAAATACATGGATGGTGGGTAAGAGGGTGCTCTACTGAAATATACAGATGGTGGGTGAGAGGGTGCTCTACTGAAATACATGGATGGTGGGTGAGAGGGTTCTCTACTGAAATACATGGATGGTGGGTAAGAGGGTGCTCTACTGAAATATACAGATGGTGGGTGAGAGGGTGCTCTTCTGAAATATACAGATGGTGGTTGAGAGGGTGCTCTACTGAAATACATGGATGGTGGGTAAGAGGGTGCTCTACTGAAATATACAGATGGTGGGTGAGAGGGTGCTCTTCTGAAATATACAGATGGTGGGTGAGAGGGTGCTCTACTGAAATACATGGATGGTGGGTGAGAGGGTGCTCTACTGAAATATACAGATGGTGGGTGAGAGGGTGCTCTACTGAAATATACAGATGGTGGTTGAGAGGGTGCTCTACTGAAATACATGGATGGTGGGTAAGAGGGTGCTCTACTGAAATATACAGATGGTGGGTGAGAGGGTGCTCTACTGAAATACATGGATGGTGGGTGAGAGGGTTCTCTACTGAAATACATGGATGGTGGGTAAGAGGGTGCTCTACTGAAATATACAGATGGTGGGTGAGAGGGTGCTCTTCTGAAATATACAGATGGTGGTTGAGAGGGTGCTCTACTGAAATACATGGATGGTGGGTAAGAGGGTGCTCTACTGAAATATACAGATGGTGGGTGAGAGGGTGCTCTTCTGAAATATACAGATGGTGGGTGAGAGGGTGCTCTACTGAAATACATGGATGGTGGGTGAGAGGGTGCTCTACTGAAATACATGGATGGTGGGTGAGAGGGTGCTCTACTGAAATACATTGATGGTGGGTAAGAAGGGGCTCTACTGAAATATACAGATGGTGAGTAAGAGGGTGCTCTACTGAAATACATGGATCGTGGTTGAGAGGGTGCTCTACTGAAATAAATGGATGGTGGTTGAAAGGGTGCTCTACTGAAATACATGGATGGTGGGTGAGAGGGTGCTCTACTGAAATACATGGATGGTGGTTGAGAGGGTGCTCTACTGAAATATACAGATGGTGGTTGAGAGGGTGCTCTACTGAAATATACAGATGGTGGGTGAGAGGGTGCTCTACTGAAATACATGGATGGTGGGTGAGAGGGTGCTCTACTGAAATATACAGATGGTGGGTGAGAGGGTGCTCTACTGAAATACATGGATGGTGGGTGAGAGGGTGCTCTACTGAAATACATGGATGGTGGTTGAGAGGGTGCTCTACTGAAATATACAGATGGTGGTTGAGAGGGTGCTCTACTGAAATATACAGATGGTGGGTGAGAGGGTGCTCTACTGAAATACATGGATGGTGGGTGAGAGGGTGCTCTACTGAAATACATGGATGTTGGTTGAGAGGGTGCTCTACTGAAATATACAGATGGTGGTTGAGAGGGTGCTCTACTGAAATATACAGATGGTGGGTGAGAGGGTGCTCTACTGAAATACATGGATGGTGGGTGAGAGGGTGCTCTACTGAAATACATAGATGGTGGTTGAGAGGGTGCTCTTCTGAAATATACAGATGGTGGTTGAGAGGGTGCTCTACTGAAATATACAGATGGTGGTTGAGAGGGTGCTCTACTGAAATATACAGATGGTGGGTGAGAGGGTGCTCTACTGAAATAAATGGATGGTGGGTGAGAGGGTGCTTTACTGAAATATACAGATGGTGGGTGAGAGGGTGCTCTACTGAAATACATGGATGGTGGTTGAGAGGGTGCTCTACTGAAATATACAGATGGTGGGTGAGAGGGTGCTCTACTGAAATATACAGATGGTGGGTGAGAGGGTGCTCTACTGAAATACATTGATGGTGAGTGGCAGGGTGCTCTACTGAAATATACAGATGGTTAGTAAGAGGAGACTAACGAAATAGGGTGATCAGGCTCGCTGAGCGATGCTCATGCTGTCAGTCACTTGATTGCCTCGTCCCTGCTCAATTTTTTACAGGTCGCCGCCTAATAGCTAGAATATTGCTGAGGGCGGCGATCAGCACAAATAAACATTGAGTGAACCTGCGATAAGATCAGATAGGTACTACACAGGAATCCGAGGATGACTTTCCGACAAAGATGAAATCAGACAAAGATGAAAACTTTCTTTGATATTGATACAAGAATACAATATAAATTGTCATGAAAGTTGTGATAAGCAAACAATACCTTGCCCCCGATCACGCATACATTGTATGTCAATCTAAACAGGGCTCATACATTTTTTAATATGTTACATCTTTCCTTGCATTTTATACATTTATCATATAATTGGTAGGTTTCTCGGCGGGATGAAGACGCCGGATAAAAACGATATCCTGTGGGGTGATATGCTTATAGAGGTGCAAATATCAAAGGTCAAGTAGGGACTACTTTCTGTGTTAATAAATAAACGTGGCGTCACGAATGTTATTCGGCAATCAGGTCAGACTTAACCATCGGGAATGTTGAGAAACTACTGGGATAATTGCTATCATTATCAAAAGAGTAATCTAATATGCTGAAAACCAGTGTCTAGCTGTGCCGTAGCTAAGGCATTTGACAAGTTTTGGCAACATTGGAAAGGTAAATTGCGAACCAATTTTGCGAGGGCATTATAGATTAGTTACTACATCTAGGCCTCTGCGACTTCCACATTTGTATTTGGCCGAAATATGTCCGATGTGTTACCTTGTTTGGTTTTGTCGCTGTGTGTACATCTGATTGCACTTCGTAACGTTATGACAGGACAGACCGACTGTCAACAACGTCTGACTGTGGCCGTGACGTCTCGCGCGTAAACTAGGGTAAGTAGCTTCCCTTTGATAATGATAAAGGACAGTTACTCTAGACAGACCGATCGATTGTCGGGAAAGGCAAGGTAAAGCAATTTCTGTAGGCAATTGTTACTGTCCAGGAAAAGTTGCACTCTCTCTCTCTCTCTCTCTCTCTCTCTCTCTCTCTCTCTCTCTCTCTCTCTCTCTCTCGATCTCTCTCTCCGAAACATACCTGGTCTTACAGTGAGCTGCGCAGTAGATATAAATTTGCGTTTGGCTTTTCCTCTGAAATAAACAAAACGGGTGAAGAATTCGTCTTGACAGATTATTTCATAGTTAGGATGTGAAGGGTTAATTGACATTTAGTTGTTTGTAGGTCAGGAATACATAATTCTGTTATGGATCACGATTTCAAGGACGTTTCAAGGTGAAGGAAAGGACAGGAAAGGTTTTGAACACGCCCTTAGAAAGAAGTTAGTTTGCTGCACAAATGGATTTCATGTGCTCGAGTTT